TAACAGTCCAGTTCAGTGTGGTTGTAGATCCATCGACCTGGAAGAGAAGGACAGTGACTCTCAGGACCATAGAAACATACCCGGAACCTCCCCTGGACACACCCAGTCCGGCCTCCAGACTAGGGACATATCCACCTCCCAGGGAGGGCCCCCTCAGACTACAGCCCCTCCCCAGGGCCAGGAGTGAGGCGCCAGCTGGAGCCAGAAGAACCTGGCTTTGTAGCATTACCTTTCTCTGAGAAAAAGAAGAAATCTCTGGTTCTGCATCCAGGACCTTGTTCCATGGTGCAATTGCCTTTGCCCTGCAAACACTGACCTTTCTTAAAATTTTGGCAGACCATACATAATGTATCTGGAGCTATAGAAAATAGAAGTGAAGATTGATTACAGAGTTGAATGGGCTGATATTATGGTGGGCTAGAACACTGGTAGGGTCAAGGGGTTGAGGGAAAAGCACGATCCTAAATATTTCCTTCCAATATACTCTTAAAGCTTGGGAACATTTGCATCATATTATGACCGTGGATTCTATAAGGACAGGCGTTTTTTACACAGGGATTTTTTTTTTTTAAATTATTTACTTGACTGCACTGGGTCTTAGTTGTGGCATGTAGGATCCAGTTTCCTGACCAGGGATGGAACACAGGCCTCCTGCATTGGGAGCACAGAGTCTTAATCACTGGACCACCAGGGGAGTCCCTACATAGGGATTTTTGGCTTATTAAAAATAACATGAAAGCTGTCCCCTTAGCTATGATGCTATTATGAAGAACACAATGAGAGCATCTACATACAGACACCTGAGGCCAGACTCTTGTAGGACATACGGACCGTGCTGGCCCCAAGGTAGGATTGCAGTCTCACAAAACTTCCCACCATACCTCCCTTCCCACAAGGAATCTGATGTCCAAACATATCTAAGTGACAATGGAAATATCGTCCTTGTAAGAGAAACATTGGTTCAAGATGACTTTCAGCAACCTGTTCCTGTTGCATCACTGCCCCTTGGCTGTGTCTTTATGGCAAGTCTGGAGCAACCATTGACTCTGCCTCATAGGGCCAGCCCAGCAAAGTACACATCGTGCCCCCTTGAGAAGGGGCCCCAGCCCCAGTCTGCCCCCAAGGAGGGACTGACCCCACTCAGAGACCTCGGAAAGGAACCTGAACTCTTTCCCTGGGAGCAATCCGAGTGGAGACAGCAGAAGGAGCCCTCGGATCCTTGCCGCTCAAGCCATCCCACAACCTCATCCTTGACTTTGTCCCTTCCCGAGCGGGTCAGATCACCAGGTGGGCGCCGCTGCCAGGCCCACCTCCACGTCCCCAGCCCCGGCCCAGCTCCCACAGGGACTCACCCACTCCTTGGAAGAGCACGAAAGGGAAGACCCCCAGCAGCAGGAGCAGCAGTAGGAACTTGTCCATCTCGGTCTGGGGGTTCAGGGGGGTGGAAAGGTGCAGAGGTGGCTGGGGCAGGGGAGCAGAGTGCCCGGGGAGGGTGAGGACAGACCGTGTGTGTGTGCAGATGAGAGAAGGCCGGGCACTCTGGACAGAGCTGCCCCTGGGCTGTGGGCAGGAGCTTCCTTTTACGCACCTGTCAGGGGGTGTTTCACAGCCAAGTGGGCCCAGGAAATGTTCCCACGGGCCAGCCCCCTTGGACACTCACAAGGATGCCATCCAGGGGGCCTGGAAGCTTGTGGTGGTTCTAGACACCCCCTGTCTGGCTGTTGCCCAGGGAAGCTTCCTGTGCTGGGAAAGAGATGCTGCCTGAAGTTTGGCGTGCTACAGTCCATGGGGTTGCACAGAGTCCGACACGGCTGAGCGACTGAACTGATCTCAAAGTTGATGGACCATATAATTTATTCTCTAGAGCGAAGCATTGGCCTGAGAATTTGACCAGATCATTTTCTGCTTTCCACTAGCTTTTCCTAGCTTCCCCAGTGGTACATGCTAAGTCACTTCAGTTGTGTTCGACTCTGTGACCCTATGGACTGTAGCCTGCCAGACTCCTGTGTCCATGGGATTCTCCAGGCAAGAATACTGGAATGGGTTGCTATGCCCTCCTCCAGGGGATTTTCTGGACCCAAGGATCAAACTCATGTTTCCTGCAGTTCTGGAATTGCAGACAGATTCCTTACCATTGAGCCACCTGGGCATCCCCAGTGATAGATAACATGCCCCTTTCCAATATCAAAGGGCACACTGTGTCCTATGCACTAGTATCATCAATACATCCTTCAAGTTTGCATAGACCAGGGTGGAAGTAATGCTATAGAAGAAGAATTTTGTTCTTTGGTGGCTCCAATAATCTGTTCATATCCTGTTTTCTCCATTTTCTACCACTGCCTCACCTTCTGCTCTTGCACAGCAGTGACAGGGGTGATGTGAGACTCGGGGCCCCGTGGGCAGCTCTGGAACCCCACTATCCTGTGAGAGGGGCTGCTGAGCATACTGGGGACCTTGGATCATTCAGCAAAGTTCCTCAGTGTGGGGACTGGGTATCAATGACGTCTTTCATCCACACACCCCACACTGCTGCAGAATCTACACTGAATCACCTTTGTCTTTGGAAGGCGGTGGAGGGGAGTTCTCTCTTCTCACAGTGTGGGAGGAGCTGGACTCCCAGTCTGTGGCACGTGGGGGCTCTGGGCCCCTTTGCCCCCCTGATTGCTTTCTGGGCTGGCAGACCTTCATGCATACATGCATTTGTCCTACTATTCTTGTTGAGTCAGAAATAGGACTGAGCGCCTGCTCTGTACCATGCAGTGTGCGGAGAGCTTCTGGTGGATGGTGAGAGAGACTGTCAGGGTCTCTGCCATGAAAAGGTTGTTCTGATGGAGAAGGAGAGAAGGGAATGGGAGACCCCACTCCCCACCCCACACTGTGACCCAGAACGGTTTCTCTAGCCCCCAACCTGCAAATTGGGACCTTGCTCCATCATCTTTCTCCTTCCTTTGGCTGGATCTCCAAACATGAATATCATTGTTGGGGAACTGGCTATTTTTATAAAATGTGAAGACACTCCAGAGAATATAAGTAATAAGGACGAATTGAAAGAGTAACATTGAAACATATACATTACCGTATGTAAAATAGATGGCCAGTGGGAATTTGTATGATGCAAGGAGCTCAACCTGGTGCTCTGTGACAACCTGGAGGGGTGGGATGGGGTGGGAGGTGGGAGGGAGGTTCAACGGGGAGAGGACATATCTGTGCCTGTGGCTGATTCATGTTGACGTGTGGCAGAAGCTAACACAATATTGTAAAACAATCATCTTCCAATTAAAAAAAAATAAAACTGGCATAGCTCTAAAAAATTGTTAAAATATAAGAAAAATAGTTGCACCCTCTTTGCCTTGTGTGGGTCACCTAGTTAGTCCATGCCAACGACCAAGTTGTAAAAATTCTGAGCCCTCCTATTTAGTCCTGGAGCAGTGATCATCTCTGTCTATATAAATCCAACTTGGTGAACATGGATCCGTGCATTCAGGGGCTAGAAAAATAAGAGAGTTGAATATGGTAGAAATTGTTTTATACACTGTAAAATAACATAGCCATCTACCTAGCTCTAAGGTCTCGATTACTTCTGTTGTGTGGATAGGATTTGCTTTTGCATATTTGTTTACAATGTGTTATGATAGGTTGAAGATAAATCTCAAATGATGTATTTGCATTTGTAGATCCTGGGTTCTGAAAATACTAAATGAGTGTTGTTGCTCTAACTACTCTCACAATTGCCAACACCGACTTGGCACCAAGAGGTCAGGGACTCTTTACTTTCACCAAAATGAGTCAAGCTCCTCTAAGCTCTCTTTTTGTCTAGTTTCCTGACCTGGACCATGTCCTTGTCACGGCCAGTCCAGTTTTAGCAAGAATCTTCTGGCTCAGTTTAGTAAAACCCTCCACCTTGATAATCTGGTCAAATTCCTCATTCCCTGCCTCCATATCTTATCATGCTGCCTTCAGCAAGAATCCTGTTGAGTCAGCCTAGCAGGTTTCTCATAGATCTGATGTTTCCTCTTAGTAATTTTACATCACTGATGCTACCCCCCACCACCACCCCAACCAGCCCCTTGTCTATAAATCATCACTAGTCCTTGTTGGACTCAGAATTGAGTCTAAGCTCTTTTCCCTACCACCAAACCCCACTAGAGTTCTTCCCTAGAATAAAATCTGCCTTACTGCTCTTAACAAATGTCCTGAGTATTTTTTAAGTTGTTATAGAATTTGTCACAATATTGCTTCTGTTTCATGCTTTGGTTTCTTGACTGTGAGGCATGTGAGATCTTAGTTCCCCAACCAGGGATCAAACCCACACCCCATGCACTGGAAGTTTGCTAAGTCTTAGCCACTGCACCAGCAGGGAAGCCCCATGAGTACTTTTCATTTAGCAGAAGGCCATGGTCCTAACTGTGAGTGGAAACAGAGGGAGGGGTAGCAAAAGCAAACAGCATGGGCTGCACCTACAGTGAGTGTATCCTGAGCCTCAGTGCAGGTGTCCCCCCAGGCTGGGTGCAGGCTTGGGCTCTGGAAGTGGAGGAGAGGTAGTCATGGGGGACGTTTGACCGAGAAGAAGTGGCTATTTCAGCAAAGCCCTACCCACAAGAGAAGCTCTTGTTCTTGGGCCTGGAGCAGCAAGATGCCCAGAGAATAAAGAATCGGGGACTGCTGAGGGGTCCAGAGATCTGATCAGGCCTCATATCCCCCACTGATTAGATAGCAGCCTCAAGGGAACAGGGGTGGCACCTGGGACATTTGTCCTTCTAAATGTCCAAGGGGGCTGGTCCGTGGGAACATTTCCTGGGCCCACTTGGCTGTGAAACACCCCTTGGCAGGTGTGTAAAAGGAAGCTCCTGCCCACAGCCCAGGGGCGGCTCTGTCCAGAGCGCCCGGCCTTCTCTCATCTGCACACACGCGCGCGGTCTGTCCTCACCCTCCCCGGGCACTCTGCTCCCTTGCTCCAGCCACCTCTGCACCTTTCCACCCCCCTGAACCCCCAGACCGAGATGGACAAGTTCCTACTGCTGCTCCTGCTGCTGGGGGTCTTCCCTTTCGTGCTCTTCCAAGGAGTGGGTGAGTCCCTGTGGGAGCTGGGCCGGGGCTGGGGACGTGGAGGTGGGCCTGGCAGCGGCGCCCGCCTGGTGATCTGACCCGCTCGGGAAGGGACAAAGTCAAGGATGAGGTTGTGGGATGGTTTGAGCGGCAAGGATCCGAGGGCTCTTTCTGCTGTCCCCACTCGGATTGCTCCCAGGGGAAGAGTTCAGGTTCCTTTCCGAGGTCTCTGAGTGGGGTCAGTCCCTCCTTGGGGGCAGACTGGGGCTGGGGCCCCTTCTCAAAGGGGGGATGATGTGTACTTTGCTGGGCTGGCCCTATGAGGCAGAGTCAATGGTTGCTCCAGACTTGCCATAAAGACACAGCCAAGGGGCAGTGGTGTATTAAGAGGAGGTAATTGGATGGCTTATTTGAACCAATACTTTTACAGAATTGGCTAGTCTTGTAATATTATGTATGCTTGATGAATTCAGGATACTGTCAGACTCCTTTCAGTGGTATTGGGACATAGGTGTTCCTTTGAAGAACAAAATTTTAAACTAAAAAAAATCATCTGCTTCCTTTGTGGTCTAGAGAAATGAGTAATATAGCAGGAATTGTTTCATACTTTATAAAATAGACTAGTCCTATATAATGCTTTTGTTCCTGTTTTATTTGGAAAGTAATTGCTATACATCTTCCTCTGGTAGCTCAGTGGTAAATAATCCACCAACCAATGCAGGAAACTTGGGTTCAGTCCCTGGGTTGGGAAGACCGCCTGGCAAAGGAAATGGTAACCCACTCCAGTCTTCTTGACTGGAAAATCCCATGGACAGAGGAGCCTATAGGGCTACAGTCCATGGGGTCACAAAGAGTCAGACGTGACTCAATGACTAAACAGCAGCAACAATTTTTACAGTGCTCTTTTTACTTAAATATGTGTATACTTTGGGTGACTTTTGGTGCTGTCCTTGAAAATCTTTGGAGACCAGAATCTGCCTCCTCATCCTTAAACCAGTGTAGTCCTTACGCCTCATCCCTTTCCCAAGGGATCCTGGTCCAGGGTAGCTATATGGAAGGCACTGAGTGTGTTCTGCACAATTGTTCCAAAGCTAAAGGCAGCTTGTGAGCACAGGGCTGGTACTATGGGGGTGTTCAGCCCAGATCCCAGGGAACAAATGCTGAGCAGACATAATCTCTTAGTGCTATTCAGGTGCAAGTTTGGAAATTTCACTCACCTGGTTAGAACCCATACCTTCCCCCCCCCCGCCCCCCCCCCCCATCATATCTCATCTTCTAGTATCTGCCATATCTCCTAGCAGGTAATGTGCCATATTCTTGTTCAAGGTTACTTTGGAAAAACAAACAGCTCTAGTGGGGCATCATTCACATAGTATGCAATTCGCTCATAAATTATATACAAAGTTATTTATCCTGAATGGATTTTGAGATTCCCATATCAAAGACCCCATTTCCTTAAATATCCAATGGGAGCAACCTAGTGGGGGTATTTCTTTCCCCAGATGGCATGGAGGACAAGTACTTAGAGCCAGACTTTTTCCCTCAACTCTTAGGTCCTACTGTGTCTTACATACCTTGGTCGCAGCCCATTCTACCCTGACTTCCACTTCCCTGTGTGTTTCTCTGCAGTTCCAGCCACCTTATGTAAGGTCTGCACTATTTTTAAGAAAGGCATATGTTTGCATGGGGAGGGGAACTGCACTGCTGAAGAAGGCCCCGGTTGCAGAACTTCTGATATGTTCTTCTTCAATGTGAAAGGTAATGCTGTCACGTAGGGCTTTTCTGCCTTGAGCGGGCACCTCATTCCTGACCCTGGGGAAGGGCTGCAGTCTGAGGGGCCCTCCCTGGGAGGTGGGTATGTCTCTGGTCTGAGGCTGGGCTGGATGTGGCTGGGAGAGGTTCCAGGTATGGTTCTCTGGTGCTGAGCGTCAACATCCTTCCCATCCAGATGGCTGGCTCTACAACCACACGCAACTGGACTGTTACGATAAATGTAGAGCTTGGAACTTGCTGCGCGGACACTTCAAAGTTTCAAGTTTTTGCTGTAAAGGCCGAGATTTCTGCAATATGTACAGAGGAAGATCACTGCATTGGAAGAATCACTAACTGCTAATTCCCTGTCAGAGGGGGTGTCCCTTCACCCTTCTCTTCCCTGCGTCTCTTGTCCTGGATCCTTCCACACTCCCTCTTGCAGAGCATTCAGTGTCCTCCTCTCTCCTCCAAGTTTCCCTCTTCACTTCCCTCCTGGCCACCAGCTCCTTCCCCCCAACACCAAGTGCTCTCGGCTCAGCTCAGCCTTGGTTCATCTCTGGCTTCCTTCACATCTGTAAATCACCATCCCACCCTCATCCCTCACAGTTACTCTGCTCCTCTGGCCACCTGGTTTCTGATCCCACCCGCTCAGAAGTGACTGCAATGTGCCCAGAAAGGGGATGGGTTCCATTTTCCACATCAGGAGTTCCTGGGGTAGTGGAAAACTCAGGAAAATGTGTCCACCTGGCAGATGGACAGAGAGGCCTCAAAGTCCAAGAAGATACCAAGTACCGAGGTCCAAAGAAGAAAAAGTAGGATCATCAGATTTAGATGCTACACACATACTCAGAATCTATTGACAGCTTTGGTGATAAGGCTTACAGAGTTTCTCTAGGGCGTGAGGTGGGAAAGAGGGTGGCCAAGTCATTGACACTAGAGGCTACCCAAAGAAAAAGTGGGTGAAGGTCACTCTGCAAAAAGGGTCATGGGTGTGGTCCTGGAAGTAGGTGGGGAAGCCAGACAGAAGAGAAGGATTCACTGTTTCCATGACAACGTGCATGTTACTGGCAGAGCGGGTTCAGTGGGAAAGTGGAACAGAAGCCACCTCACAGCCGGTTGAGGCATGAATGGACCAGGACAGGAGGACGCAGTGAGGGTGGGCAGCCCTTCCAAGGAGTTTGGGAAGAACTGAGAATGCGGAATATCACCTTTATAAGAACAATGAGTTTAGTAAATAGGCAGGCATAGGAAGATTTATGTCTTCTCTTTAGTATAAAAATGCTTCTATTATTATGACTAGAAATACCTGTCACCATCTTATTATCACTCTCGCTCTGCGTGTGTTTTTTCTGACCTTTTGACCTCTCTTTTCTCCTTTGTGTTATTTCCTCTGTCCTTACCCTTTTCCTTTATTTTCTTTCCCTAACCACTCATGATGCAAGAATATTATCATCTTACTTTACTTTTTTACTATAATCTTACACTTCTCTTTCATAATTAAAACAAAGTATGAATAATATTTTGTTTCTTTTGTAGAGTCTAAAAATTCATGTTTGTATGATTTTTGAATTTCAGTAAAATTTTTTGAACTTGTGAGAAAGTCTTCTGTATAGCCTACTTCTATTTTCAGAATGTCAAGTGTAAATATTTTTATGGTATTTTCTCCCTAAAATTGAGGTGAGATAGAAAATAAAATATAAGGCCAGTTAGATTAGCCTTTGTAGGGCACCACCTAAGCCAGAGCTTTGTCTTTAAACTCTAAAATATAGCCAGGACGTGGAAGCAACCTGAATGTTAATCAACAGATGAATGATTAACAAAAATGTGGTACATATATGCAATGGAATATTACTCATCCTTGAAAAGGAATGAAATTGGGTCATTTGTAGTGACATGGACAGAACTAGAGTCTGTCATGAAGAGTGAAGTAAGTCAGAAAGAGAAAAGCACATGTCATATATTAATGCATATATATGGAATCTAGAAAACTGGCACTGATGAACCCACTTCCACCCTGGTCTATGCAAACTTGGAGGATGTATTGATGATAATAGTGCATAGGACACAATGCGCACTGTGATATTGGAAAGGGGCATGTTATCACTGGGGAAGCTAGGAAAAGAGAGTGGAAAGCAGATAATGAGCTGGTGAAAACTTCTCATGGAAGTTTATGCTCCTCAAACATCCTGATGGTGCTTCCTCAGGGAAGGATCTTGGTGCCATTGTGAAAAACTCTACAAATAACAAATGCTGTAGAGGGTGAGGAGAGGGAAGCCTCCACACTGCTGGTGGAGATGTAAACTAGTGCAGCCACCATGGAAAACAGTCCAATATATATATATATATATATATATATATATATATATATATATATATATATATATATATGATCCAGAAATCCCACCCCTGAACATATATCTGGAGAAAACTCTAATTCAAAAAGATGCATGCAGCCCAGTGTTTGTAGGAGCACTGTTCACAATAGCCAAGATGTGGAAAAAACCTAAATGTCCATCAACAGATGAATTGATAAAGAAGATGTGGTACACATACACAATAGAATATTACCTAGCCATAAAAAAGAACAAAATAAGGCCATTTGCAGCAATGTAGAAAAATCTAAAGATTATTATACTAAGTGAGGTAACCAGAAAGAGAAAAACATATACCACACGCCATCCCTTGTATATAGAACCTAAAATATGACATAAATAAATGTATTTACTAAACAAAAATAGACTCAAGTCTTCCCCTGTGGCTCAGATGGTAAAGAATATGCCTGCAACTCAGGTTTGAACCCTGGATCATGAAGATCCCCTGGAGAAGGAAATGGCAACCCACCCCAGTATTCTTGCCTGGAGAATTCCTTGGACAGAGAGGCCTGGCAGGCCACAGTCCATGTGATAGTCAGACTCACAAAGAGTTGGACACAACTGAGTGACTAGCACTTTCACTTTGGAAAACAAAGGTATGATTAACAAAAGTGAGAGTGGATAGTTGTGGGACTAATTATAAGTTTGGGAGTAGTAGATACACACTCCTATATATAAAATAGATAAACAACAAGGTCCTACTGTTTTGCACAGGAAACTATTTTCAGTATCCTGTGATAACCCAGAATGGTAAAGAATATGAAAAAGGATATATATATATGTGTGTGTGTGTGTGTGTGTGTGTGTGTGTGTTTGTGGTCTATCTATGTAAAGCTGAATCACTTTCCTGTACCTCAGGAACTAATACAGTAATGTAAATAAACTATGCTTTTTTAAAAAGACTTTTATACTCTACTTCAAGGACAGTAAATGTGAATCACGAACAACTAACTATACTTTTTAGAAAGGATTTAGGGAATGTGGCCCAACTGGAAAATGCCTGTGACAGCTATCTGATTATGCTGAAATAAAATGGAAAAGTGATATGACTAAAATAGCTCCACTTGTGTATCTGAACCTCACATAAATCATTTAGAAGTATTGTAAGTTAAATCCACACCAGAAAAGGCTATGCTTGCCTCAAAGAAGAATATACTGCCCCACATTCCTGGCTGGCCTTCCTTCATCCATTCTTCCTCATAATTTCTTAAACAACATTCCATAATGCATCCACACTAGGCTGCACTGGAAGATAATGGTCAGTTTAAATGGTGGAGTTCTCTGGATAAGACATGCACCTCCGTGAATGATGTGTTGTGAAATTTTTCTGGTTTTCAGGAGAGGAAACTTCAGAGGTCCATCAGAAATTGAGAGCTTGATAATGTCATATATTAAATTTATCCTGAGCCCGTGAGACTTCCAAAGTTGGGAGAGATCTAACAGTTAGTTCTAATCCATGGTATTCCAAGCTTACTTAGCAAACTCCCCTTTCACTCTCCAGAACTTCAGTCTGTTGCTGCTGCTGCTGCTAAGTCGCTTCAGTCGTGTCCGACTCCGTGCGACCCCATAGATGGCAGCCCACCAGGCTCCCCCGTCCCTGGGATTCTCCAGGCAAGAACACTGGAGTGGGTTGCCATTCCCTTCTCCAATGCATCAAAGTGAAAAGTGAAAGTGAAGTCGCTCATTCGTGTCCGACTCTTAGCAACCCCATGGACTGCAGCCCACAAGGCTCCTCTGTCCATGGGATTTTCCAGGCAAGAGCACTGGAGTGGGGTGCCATTGCCTTCTCCAGAGCTTCAGTCTAGAGATAAATTATATGGTCAGTCAACCTAGAGATCATCAGGCACAATCTCTGTCTCAGTGCAGGAATCTTCTCCAGGGCAGCAGACAGACAAGTGGCGTCTAGAACTGCCACAGGCTTCCAGGCCCACGCTGATCTCCATCAGATCTTGCAATAATGTGTCTAGGTAGAAACCCAACCAGGAAGTGTCCCAGCCAGAGATCTGACTCAGAAATTAGGTGGGTCTGGGTTTGAAGACTCATTCCAACATCTACTGGCTATGAAACCCTGTGTGTGTATGTGGTAAGTTGCTTCAGTCGTGTCCGACTCTGTGCGACCAGGCTCCTCTGTCCATGGGGATTCTCCAGGCAAGAATACTGGAGACCTTGGCAAGTCATTAATCTATAGGCCCCAGTTTCCCCATCGGGGAAATAGGGAATATAACACCGCTTAAGTCACTCGGTTCTGCATTCAATTCTTTATATTCATCTTCTGTTCAACTACTAACTAGAAAATCCAGTTAAGAAAATTTTAATTTAAAAATTGGAACTAAGTAATATCACAGGTTTATATTTAGTGACCTCTCTTCTCTGCCTGTTTCTTGGGCTCCTTTTTATTCACTACAAGGGCTAATGTTAATGCTGAAGCTCCAGTTCTTTGGCCACCTAATGCAAAGAGCCGATTCATTGGAGAAGACCCTGATGCTGGGAAAGATTGAAGGCAAAAGGAAAAGGGGTGGCAGAGGATGAGATGTTTAGATAGTGTCATCGATGTCATCGACTCAATGGACAGGAATTTGAGCAAATTCTGGGAGATAGTGGAGGACAGAGGAGCCTGATGTGTTGCAGGCCATGGGGTCCCAAAAGAGGCAGACATAACTGAATGACTAACACTTTCCCCTTCCCTGAAAACCAGAAAAAGTTTCATCAACTGGGGATTTACTCTGAGAGCCTGTGATACTTCCTGGAACGAGGAGTCAGTGGTAGAAGAGCACTGAGCTTTCTATTTTATTTTATTTTAGCACCGAGCTTGTTAAAAGACCCTGACAGTGTACATGTTTCCAAGCTTCTCCGCAGTTGTTCCACCTTCTCCTTTCCCACCCTGTCCTGGGTCCATGAGTCTGTTCTCTATGTCTGCATCTCCATTGCTGCCCTGCAAATACACGGCACCATATGTGAAATAGACAGCCAGTGGGAATTTGC